TCGCTCACGTGTCCTACTGTGCGGCCCGGTTCCTAACAGGCCACGGACTGGTACCGGTCCACGGCCCAGGGGGTGGGGACCCCTGTTTTAAGAGACCTCAACTCTGAATATTCACTTTAAGTAGAAAGGATGAAAAAACAAAGACAAATCATTAGGAACCTAAATTTGTACTCACATATTTCTTTAGCTTCTAAGAATGAGAAAGTTGACGTCTTCAAGAACCCTCTCATCTCTGCCCCTGCCATCCTACCTTTTCCTTTACGCCTTTTAGCATATGGTTAGTGGATAAATTACAGCCAACATCCCAATCTCCAGTCTGTCTTAAACAAGACCAACAACTGGGTAAGTTAAACGCTGTGCCAGCTCTATGAGCAAAGAAAGGCAATGGTCCACAACTCCTAGGCAGCGCAAGTCCAAGTCAACCCTCCACCACCAGCCTCCTGCCCAGCAGACGGACGGCTGGGTACAGACCGACCTGCTCCCCACTGGCAAGTAGCAATCAACAGCCAAGGGGTCACGCTCTCAAGCCCCGAAGCTACTTGTGCTTTCAGACCATGGAAGGCCTTCCCTTCTGTCTTAGGGTCCCATCACTGCCTGATCCACCGAGAGCGCAGTTTTCTTCCTTTCATGTTCCCCTGGATCCAGCAGCCACTGCTAACATGGCCCTCGCCTCTACGCCTGCCACCACGATGAGCCTGTTTCCCCTGACGGGGCCTTGCACACTGGGGCCGGGGGCTGTGTCTCGTTTCCCTGCACAGCCAGCCCTGGCAAGCCACAACCTTTGCGACACACAGTAGGCCTTCACTGAATGTTAACTGCTTAGAATTCTGATTTAAGGTCCTAATATAATTCTTCATTCAAAATTGAAAACAACATAAAATAGCAGACTTGGAAACAAAGTATACATATATAAGATTTTTTAAATTAATTATTAAGTTGAAATAAACCAAAACACATGAACACGCCAGTGAGGTGAAAAGAGAAAAAAATAACTTCCAGTTAAAAATACTTCATAGCAATAGGTACTCACTCGTTACTCAGTAATGGGCACTGGTCTTAACACAAGTGTCAGAAAAAAACCCAGACCAGTTCTGCTCCATATCAAGTGTGTTATTATACTTGGGGCAGTAACTTCACCTTTCTGGACCTCAGTTTCCTAACCCGTATGATGGGAATGATCCCTGTCTCAGCAGCCAGCACACGCCACGCAGGTGCCCAGGGCAGGTTAGATCCCCTCCCCACCTACAGGACCGAAGGTGACACGAGCAGCTCGGGAGACCTGGCTCAAATGCTGCTGAGAGAGCAGAGGGAAGCCACCCAACAGGGCTCCGGGCCTCCCGGCCACAGAGTGGGACGGGAGAGCGCACACCAGAGGCTGCACTCGGGCGCCCCATTGCCCACGCCCCGCTCTTACCACCGCCCGGGTCGTGGTTCCTCACAAGGCCTTCCCCGTGGATCCTCTGTGTGACCCCGCGCCCAGGCACACAGACGACTGAGCAGAGCAGGCCCCCAGTCCACCCTCGCGTGCCCGGAGCTGCCCTGGTTGGGGGGTGGGGGGTGGGAGTGGCACCAAGGGAGACAGACCGTCTCGCAGCTGCTCCATGTCGTCGTCGAACACAGCCTCCTTCAGGGCCGTCTTGTCGTAGCTGCTGATGGTGTCCGAGTAGGGGTAGGGGCTGTAGTCCCGCGCCCGTGGCCCCGGGAAGGCACGCGGGGGCTGGGTGTTGAGGAGGGAGGTCTTGTTGTCCAGAGCCGTCCGGCCTCCTTCCACTGCGTCGCTGCCGCCCCGGCCCTCGGTGGCGGGGGAGGTGATGCCACCGTCGCGGGACACCTGGGGCACAACACACTGTCAGTTCCTTTTCAGTGCTTATCTCAAACTTTTCCTTTAAATCTTCACAATTATTAGGGAGAGCCAGAGATTTCTCACTTGAAGTCTGGCCACTGACAAAAGGACGGTTGTTAGTGCCTCCATTTGTAAATACCTAGCTCATAAGCTACCTCAGAGGGGACAGAACACGCTGATGTTCTCATCTATTCATTCATTAGTTTACAAGGAATGTCTGTTTTACTTTGCATTTGCTGACTAATTTGACTCATTTTTGACAGATTAGTGACATGAAATTCTGAGGAGCCCTTGAGAAGGCAGTCTGCACACCTGGCACCCCCAGTTCCCCAGGAACCTCAGGTGTCCACAACACCCCAGCCAACTTCCTTCACCACCGACAGGACGGGTTTTCTCACTGACACCCTGACACAACGCCATGGACAAATGCTCCCCCGATGACCCTCTCGAGACCTACAGTGGTCCCACCACCCACGAGTCCCCTGCTATATTCCCCTCAAGTGGTGAAACGTCTCACTATGGAGAACATGACATCCCCCAGGCAGATGGTTTTTCCTTTGGGGATTTCTGACTCTCAGAACTGGTCTTTACACTGGTCAAAGAACAGGTCTTTAATATTGTCTGAAAATGTTTTTCCTGATATGCGCTGAGTTTTGTCTTCAACTAGTGAAACCTCTGGGCCCCTGGTCCTTGTGTCATGTTTCTGACCCCCTTCTCTCCCCGAGGTCCTTTCTTCTGCGCACACTGGCCTGTCTGGCTCCCTTTGCAGGGAACAGAGCAAGTGTGGCCGACTGCAGGGGACAGAGCAAAACGGTCACTTCCCTCATCTCAGACGTGTGACTACAGGACAGTGGGGGAACCACTTCCAGGCAGCCAGACCACCCTGGTGAGCCCTGTGGCACCTTTTACTTGTGCTGCTGACAAGGTGCACCGCTGTCACCTACGCTTATGCCTTTGTGCGGTTTTTATTGTAGTTTTATGTATGTATGTTAAAAATTCAATCATGTAATTCATACGTGTATAATCCAGTGACATCAAACACGTTCACAGTGTGGTGTAACCATTACCACTATGTTATACTTTGGGCAAAACTTTTTCATCTTCCCCAACCGAAACTCTGTACCTATTAAATAATAACTCCCTGCCCCTTCCAGCCCTGGAAACCTCTGTTCTACTTTCTGTCTCTATGAATTTGACTGCTCTAGGGACATCATATAAGTGGAATCACACAGTGTTTGTCTTTCTGTGTCTGGCTTATTTCACTTAGCATAATGTTTTCAAGGTCCATTCATGTTGTAACATGTGTCAGTATTACATTCCTTTTCATGGCTGAATAATATTCTACTGCATGTGCATACTACGTTTTGTTTATCCAGTTATTTGTTGATGGACACCTGGGCTGCTTCCACCTTTGGGCTACTGTGCCTAACACCACTCTGACCACTGGTACACAAATATCTGTTCAAGTCCCTTCTTTCAGTTCCTAGTGGAACTGCTGGGATGCGTTTGGTTCTTACACATCCCACCCAGAAGATTTTGTCCTAATATAACTGTTAGGATATAAAAGAATATATAATATGTGTACAGACATGAACAAAATGAGACTTAACAGGGGTTTTCTCTCGGTATAAGATGATTCATGGATGATTTTAATTTTTTTCTCTTTGTAACTCTCTTCTAAAAGTAAAACGTATATGATTAATATAATGAAAAGATTATTTATAAAAGGAGAAAGGGTTTAAAAACTTCAGACATTCAAAAAAGAAAGCTAGGGCTTCCCTGGTGGCGCAGTGGTTAAGAATCCGCCTGCCAATGCAGGGGACGTGGGTTGGAGCCCTGGTCCAGGAAGACCCCACATGCCAGGGAGCAACTAAGCCCGTGCGCCACAACTACTGAGCCTGAGCTCTAGAGCCCACAAGCCACAGCTACCGAGCCCACGTGCCACAACTGCTGAGCCTGCACTCTAGGGCCCGAGAGCCACAACTACTGAAGCCCTTGTGCCTAGAGCCTGTGCTCCGCAACAAGAGAAGCCACCGCAGTGAGAGGAAGCCCGTGCACCGCAACCAGAAGGAGCCCCCGCTCGCCACAACTAGAGAAAGCCCACGCGCAGCAGCGAAAATCCAATGCAGCCAAAAATAAATAAAATAATTTATTAAAAAAAAGAAAAATAGAAAACTAAACTCCTAATACTAATCACTTTTAACAACAAAATCGTACTTTCTTAACTCGGTATATTATATTACCCCAGTCTTAGTCTGCATGCAGATTTTATAGAGTGGGAATCACAGTGCACAGAACAGCATATATTTTGCTTTCCTCAAAGGATCAGCACGTCCCACGTAAATAAAAACTTTGCAGCCATAATGTTTAATCACACCACTATTTCTTGTGTTTTAATAAGATTTACTGCCTGATTCCCCTTCTGTGTTTTCCTTAATGTTTTTGTTTCTTGCTATTATAAATAATGCTGAAATAAGCTACTTTGTGTAAATAACGTCTTTCTTCCCTTTTGTCAAGTTTGTTACTCGGCGCAGATTGCCAGAAGTTAGATTTTTGGATAAAGGATATGAAACTTAAAATCGCTTTTGCTGAATATGCCTTTTCACTGAGCTCCAAAAGAGCCGCATCAATTTTCCAGGCCATCAGTACTACGCTCGTTCCCGATGTCCCTTCTGGCATCAAGTGCTCTAATTTCTACTTGAAACAAAGAAATGGAACCTCAGAATCTGCCTGTGGGATTTCTGTAACTGCCCGGAAGGCTGGACATGCACGCGTTTGTGTCTGTCTCTGCCTGTGTGACCCACCCTCCCCCTGGATGTGACCTGCGCCCTGACGGACTCTGTCTGACCAGACTGGGCCCGCTGGTCAAGCTTGAGCAGAGAGATGCGGGTGCCTGACTCTTCCACACTTAGTGCACTTTTATAGCGGCTTCTTAGCTAACATTTGGTGACGAGTGGCGAAGATGCTGACTTTGGACTTCCTCAACTCTTCCTTTTCCCCTCCCCGCCCCTCTGAGCCGAGACCCGTCAGCGCCCCGTCTGCCACCCCCTGCCAGTCCCGCAGCCCCTCCTGGCCCCCCGCTTCCCCATCCTGGTACGGGCCTGCTCTCTCCACCTTCCCCCCACTCCTTTCAACATCTGGCATGGTGTTTTTTCATACTTTGAAAAGTTGGAAACAACTTAAACGTTCCCAAATAGGGCACCGAGGACATCCTTACGCTGAACTATCATCCAGCCACAAGAAGGCACATGAAAGATGACACCACACAGGAGGCACCCTATGAAGTCAGCTTTACCTTAAAGAACACACTCCATACACCCCTGCACACACAGACATGTACAGGTACACCTAAGGGGATAGAAAGATGCACACCCAAGTGTTAATGGTGGCTCTCTCTAAAGGTGTTTTTTCTTCCTTCTTTTCTTTACATGCTGGCTATACACCTCCGTCATCCAGCTTCTCCTGGGGCCTCTGCTGTTCCTGGCAGGACTTCTGTTTCCCTGATCAGAACCACACCCGACCCCAAGCTCCTCGCGTGCACTTCAGAAGCCTTTCCCGTCCCCTCAGCACAAGCGCTGCCCGTGGACAGCAGAGCTGCCAGCGTGGACACCCTCCAAGTCCTGCTCCCACAGGCCCACTCCTCTCCTTCCTGGCTAAGGCCAACCCGCTCCCCCAGGGCCCCCGTCTCGCCACCTCCCCACGTCCTTAAGGACCCGTGTCCATGAATCGTCCACTGCCCCCACTGCAGAGCCAACACCTTTCTCGCCACACGGGCCAGGTCTCTCCCACTGCACACCCGCCGTCGGCCCCTCCTCGCTCCAGCCTGTGCTCGAGTCGGCCCTCGGCCCACTGTGACCTCGTGTCCACTCCCAGCTCTGCTCTCAGCTCTGCTCACAACACCCAATGGACTCCCGGAGAAACTAACCCTGGAAACTGCAGACTGTGATTAGGTCTAAAAGCTATTTAAGAAAAAGAAGATGGAAGTCCAGACGGGGGCCCAATCTCAAAGAAAAGGTCTTGGCCCTACATCCAAACACCGGTGAGTAACTGTGTGTGGTTTAAATATTCTAGATTAAAATAGACTATTTAATGCAGACAGTAAAAAAAAGATCCAGTGGAGCCCTTTCAGTCCATGTCTGACTCGAGACCCCTTTGGCTGGAACATCCTTCCCGAAAGCCCCCCTCGAATTCCAGGACGCCACATTCTCCTCTGCTCTCCTTCTTGAGCCCGCTTCTTCTGTCTTTCCCTTCGTGGTGATGCTCCTGAGGATTCGGCCCTTACCCTCCTCCACTTGGCTGATTTCACTTACTTTTCTTTAGTTACCATCAAGCATCTAGTCAGTGTCCCTCAAACCTCCACCTGCAGCCCAAATCGCCAGCCTCAACTCCAGGCTGCGCACCCGAAGGCCCATGGCTGCGTCTGCTTGGATGTCTCACTGCGCTCCACAGGGGTCCACACCGCCTCTTCTCCCCATGACATCACCTCACTGCGGTGCAGCAGCACTTCCTCAACAGTCCCTGCCGGACTCTCCGGCTCTCCCGCTTCTGCTCACGCGCTACACGACCCAGCTCCCTCCTGGGTCACTCCCCATCGCAGAGGGACAGCGACCCTCCTCAGACGTGCGTGGGACCATGGCTCTTCCCTGGTTAAAAATCCTTCAGGGACCCCAGAGTAGTCTGGACGATGGCTGTGCACCCCCTGGTGTGAGGGCCCTTCTCTTCCCAGGGCCTCCCCAACACCAGGGCACGCCCACCCTCTCCCTCCCCCCGTGCCCACTCCCATCCCTCTGCCTTCTCACAGGCCCCTCTCAGACGACAACCTCCTACTTGACCCGACAAGTGCCTCGTGACCTCGTGGCCTCCGTGCTCGGAGGGTGACATCGTCTCCTCTGCAGATCTGTCCTGCGCCACTCTGCCCCTCTGCAGGAGGCTGCAGCTCACGGGCAGCCACGCTGGCGCCGGGCGCAGGCTCACTGTTTTTATCATATCAGAGGAACAAAAACGTGTCCCGGATAAATGAAAGCCAGCTGAGAGGAAGGGCATTTAACATTCTTCACCAGGACCGCTGAGGGCTGCTGCAATTCCGCACAGTTGCCTTGGGCCTCTTAAAATCGTACCATTCTAACCACGAGATAAAAATAATGTTGGAGTTCAGTAATCGCCGCGGTCAGCGTTCAGGAGTATCCCTGAAGGGACACACAGCTCTCTACCGGCCTGGGTGGTGACCGCCCCCTCACTGATGAATGGCCCTGTTAGTTAGCCTGCGGGTACTCACGACATCACAGTCCTTCCTGCCGTCTCTTTTAATGGGCTCATTCAGATCCTCCTGGCTTCGAAAACTAAACTTTTCGATGGCTTCTGTCACTCCACGCAAAGAACTATAGATTTCTTCAGAGTTCAGGTTCTCGGTATCATAGTCCAGCATGCTAAAGAGCAAAAATATTTCATTTCTTAAATTAAGGCACATGCATAAAATTGAGGTATGGGTAAAAATGACTTCTAATCATTTACGGAGTAAGACATAATTATAGTTTCTTTAGGTGATTTGGAATGATAAGGAAGACATCTTTTGTTAAGAGCACCACCACTGGACAATTGAATCATACAGCTTCCTTGTCAGATCTGGTCCCAAACACATGACATCAGCACTCAATAAGAGCCAGTGGGAAACAAGAACCACGAGAATGCAGGAACTCAAAGAGTGACAACTGGTGACGATGCACGAGGTTAATGGACGTGGAAAAATAACTTTCGTATCTTGAAGATGGAAAAAAGCAGTTTGGTTGTTACTGGTCTCAAATGTACAAATAAATGAAAAGAAAGCTAGTTATTACACACAAATTTTAAAGGAGCAAAGTGCATGACCTCAGAAAGCTGGGTTATGCTCACCAGTATCAGAAACCTATGAAATAAAACCCCAGAGTAGAAAATGCCTCGAAGTCAGATCCACCAACGGACTCCTGAAAGCCTCTCAGGCCATCTAATCCAGGAATTGGCTTGAATAACCAAATTCTTCTAGACGCGGATAGTGGGAGTTTTACAGTGAAAGCAGATCTTATAAAGATGAGTCACACTTCCAGATGAATATCTAAAAGCACTCCAAAAAGCAAGAGATATTTGTCCCTTACAGAAAAGTGACGTCAACTGTCGTCCTTTCAGACATTTAGCATAAACAGCAAAACACAAAGGAAAGCAAAAATCCTCAACAGCCTTCTGGCGTAATGCAGTGTATCAACAAGTGACCTTTAGATGTTTGAAAAGTACGCTGAAACAGACAGAAGATCCTAAGAACAAAAACCATTACCTTCCCTCAAAAAGAATAAACCGTCACTTGCTCCAAGAAAGTATTCAAGAAAAAAATCGGATGAGTCGGTCTGATTTTATCTCCAGACAGTCCTGAGCTATGCTGAGAACTGCCAAGGACATTAAAAGAATCCTTGGCTGTATATAAGTAAGCATTCAACAACATTCACTCTTAACGACTAAAGAAGACCGATCTTTCTCTTCTTCCAAAGAGAAATAACTGAAACCAGTCACCCACTGGTGGGAACCCCGGCTAAGGGCAACCCAGCCAGGCCTGTGCATTCTGTTGAGAGGAAACTTCCCTGTAACTTATAAACAAAAAATGTTTACCAACCTCCCCCTCAACACACACACTTTTTTTTTTTTTTAAAGGTTTGGGCAGATGAACAAGACAAGATTTGAACAGCGCTCACTTGGAGTAGCCAGACCTCTACTGGCTGGAGGCTGTAATGACCCGAGTGTCCTGCCAGAGTACAAGATCTGAATTCATTCACCCTGCGAGATGAATTCACTCTCCTGTTGCAAACCTGGCCCAGGTAGAACCCATTCTTCTCTTCTGATGAATGAAAGAACACAGATACCCCAACTGCACTTGGAGAGCTCACAAAAACACACGCCAACTCAAAGTCTGGCTCTGGCCATCAAACAAAAAGAAACGTGAGCTTCAACACGTTTACAGCTAAGACTCCGTGTATATGCTGGCAGGAAGCAGAATCAAAAAACCTGAACAGAATTCAAGATTTCAACCCCTTCTAAGTTCATAACATTATCTAATACTCCTTTGGCATGAAGAAAGCGTGACTGGGGAGCACTGGGGCCCCCTGACCGCTCCCCTCCCCGGCCCCTTCTAGAACAGCACAGCACCAGCTTATGTGTGAGCAAAGGCATTTATACATCTGGCCAGTACACCGTTTTTCATAAATAAAGGTTGAATGTGACTTAAACAAAAAATATGTATACGAGATGTAAAAAGATGCCTGAAAATACTATTAATCACAACAACCAAAAAGAGTAACATAGCCCATGCAAAAGGGAAAAAACCAAACCAAAACAGGAAGGATGGAGGGATGGACAGGAGGAAGTCTGGGGGACGTTCAGCTTTTAAGGGATGTCACAATATTATTCTCCATGTCGCTTCAGAAGATGTTAGGTTTCATGTAGTTCATCCCATTATTCCTACCCTGAACTTTCTTAAAATACCTCATTTCGGTTCATATAACTTTAGCATGAGAGCAGCCTCTCTTTAAAATAGGAAAATAAAGGATTCTGCCAGTTAATGTTCCTCCTTCTTACGTTCAATTTATAAACCAACTCAGACTTCCAATTTAGGAGAACGTGCGCACGGCCAGGCACAATCTATTGGGGACACTTCTTTTAGACTCACTAGCTTGAGCTTTGAAGCATCTCCTTGGTATGAAGTGGAAACTGTGAGCTCCAGGTGACAGAGAGCATTATTTTCCTCTAAAGGGAAGCAGACAGTGTTGCTTTCCTTGCCATTTCACGTTCTGGCGTTTGCGTTTTTTCCAGTCAATACCCGTGAGCCCATATTTCATAGGGAAAAAGGGACACTCCCGTGGATGCCGTCATCAGGGAATCACAGGTGATGTGGTCCCGACAAGCAATACCCACAAGGGAACAGCAAGGGGGAGGCAGCAGCTCTGCTTAGAAGAGACCTGGTTGGGTGAACCCCAATCTGCCACCCGCCCTCACATTCTGTCTTGTTTTAGCTCGGAGGTATAATCCCTTAGGTTAAAGGCCAGGTCCTAGGAGTCTGTAAACACTGTGATTAGACTCCAGAAAGGTTTCCATAGGGTTCTTTAGATTAGGAAGAGTTGCTCAATCGGTCAATACACACTGACCTGAGGTCAGGCCAGGGCACCCAATACCGGGGCAGAAGGCGGCTCTGGCCTCACCCTGCAGAAAGGCTGCACAGCGCAGGCGGGGAGATGCGTGAGGTCAGGTCACCAAGGAAAGAAAAGCCGGAGACAGGAAGTGTGCCTTCTGAGAGCGTCTTCTTTGTCATTTTGTAGGGAAAAGATACTAGGTATGGAATGAGGATAATTGTTCCTTCTCATGAATCGATAGGGTTTTGGCGAAGAGCAAAGAGAAAAGATACAGATTTCCTCTTAGTTTTATGTAACCGATAGGTTCTCTAAGTGTAAAGGTCTCTGGGTCCACTCTCTCTCCCTCCGACAGTTAACAGAAGTTGTAGTTGTTTGTGAAGCGCTGGCTGTAGCATTGTACACACGTGTAAAAGGTGACTCTGGGAACAGATGTCCTCTGGAGGGTGGTCTCAGTGGCCGGATGGGAAGACTGGCTGGGGGTGAAGCTTGGTGCCCAGTAAGGCACACGGGTCAGTGTACTGGGAGACGGTCAATCAACCGGTCTGATACGTTGAGGCACGACTAACCTTTAAGACAAATGCAGTGGCACGCGTTATTAACACTGAGGACGCAGCCGTGTCACTGTCGACGTGCCCGTGCCCCAACCTGCGCATCTGGACAGTCACCACAGGAGTCTCTGCACGCTTTAGAAGCTACTTTCAGAACTGGGAGAGTTTCCAAAGGAAGATGCTGTTAAAACACTTAGCTGGCTTGTTCACTACATACAGTCTCACTGTGTCGAGGACATAAAGTAAGAATGTAAATCTTCTGTGCGAAAGCTATCTCTGAGGCATTCAAAAGTAACAGACTTCTTTTTTTTGTTTTGCCTTTACCCTTGTCCTATCACAGAGGGTTCAAAGTCATGTCACACAGCAGAGGCAGCTGGACTGCTCCGTCCTCTGCTCACGTGATCACAGGGCTCCAGGGAAGGGATCCTCTGATCTTTGGACGTTTATAAAAAGCACCTAAGAGACCCTCAAACACGAACCCGTAGGAGCCCATGGAGCCTCCTTTGTAAAGCACTGTCGCATTCGGCCGGAAGCCTGTGGGGACCCCACGGCTCTCCCGCCCGGTGCTGGGCCCCCTTTATGGGATGTCACGGGGAGGGCACCTCTCGGGGCTGCCTTTCTGGATCTGAGTCCTCAGACTATCGGCACATGCGGGACCTCAGGACGGGACATCAGGAAGGACACTGGCCCACACCACTGACAGCAGGACCGAGGACCTCAGGTTCGGGAGGAAGCAGCCCTGTGCGGTCGAGCAGAAGGCTGGGGACACCGCGCCCGGTCGCGGCCCTGACGGCATGCGTCGCCCGAGCCCCTTCCAGGGCCTGAGCGCTGCAACCACAGATGTCGGTGGATGTGGCCAGTTGATGCAATGGTCCCCTCTCCTGGGGGCACCGTAGGAGCGTCCTCGAGAGGTCTGGCCGAGGCCACGCCCCTGGCTCACACTTCTCACCAAGGCTCTAGCCCCGCTGGTCTCAGCCGGAGGCGGCGGAGAGGCTTCCCCAGAGACCTGAGGCGACGTTGGAAGTGCAATAATATTGTGACACCTCAGAGAAGTGGAACAGGTAGCTCGTTACCTGGGAGAGTAAGGGCGCCTGAGAGTCTTGTGGGAGGGAGCGGTGGGGATGGAGCTAGGCTGAGGAAAGGGAGCTGGCTGCTTCGACCACCCATCGGCACTGCAACCCCACAACCGACTGTGGTGATCAGAAGACGAGAGTCAGAGAAAGAGACAAGACAGGCAAGGGCGGCACTATACTCTGTGTCCTAGAGCCCCTCTCCCTGACAAAGCTCTACCCAGAGTCATGCTGCACCATTCGGGGGCAAGAACCAGTTCTGAGTTCTGCATTTATGTTTTTAAATCACATGAGATTCCAACTACAGGACTGTGTGTGTGTAAAGGAAATTACAAGCACTTACATGCAAAAAACACAGATGTACTTGCAGATAATGCAATCAGTTATTTCAGAAAGAACCAAAGAAGGATTCATGGGCCTTAATTCAAATGGGACCAAAGGGACGAGAGCAGGAAGCCTCAGGGAAGGTGCCACCCGGCCAGATGACTCAGGCAGGGGACAACGCGTCCCCCCACCAGGACGACCCTCAGATGGGTACTTCCTTCTGTGAAAACAACAGCACCACTGGGGGGGCGGGGGCGGGCCATGGCCCACAGGCTGGCTCCGAGAGGGGAGAATGCTCACGTGACCTGATATGAGGACTAAAGTGCGCCTGAGAACACAGGCTCTCCTGACCTGCCAGGTGTCCCTAAGTGACCTGGGTGTGCAAAGGCCCCGCCAGAGTTCTAACAACTGTTGCAGTTCAACAGACCCAGAGACACGGGACGGGCGTGAACTGAGCTGACCGCAAATGGGACACCAGGCCAAGGGGTCCACAGGACCAGGGTCCCTACGGAGCAGCGCGCCTGCCCCGGCACTCATGGCGGTTCTGAGAGCAGTGGTCCAGAGCTGGTCTTCACCTGAGGAAAGCGAAGGCCCCATTTTATAAGGAATACAAGGTGTGGAGGGGAGCAGTCACCATGGCACAGAAGGGCCAAAGGCCTCCTCTAGGCCACACACTGAGTCAGCGGCACAAGAGGACACGGGAGACCCCCTCAACTGGGGCCCTGCCAGTAGGGGGAGGACCAAGAGGATGCGCCAGCACCTCCCTGTGGGAGGGGGTCTCCAGCTTGATCCCCACCTTGAGTCCGTGCACACGCTTGATCGTCTGACGGGATGAGTGTAAAATCCACCTAAAATTGCCTTTTGTTGTTGGGTTACCAGAGGTTATCTGCTGAGCGCTCCACGGCATGTTTGTCAAGAATGCACAGCAGACCAGAGTGAGGACGGCCACATGCTTTTCCTATCTTAAAGGGAACGGACTGCACGTAATTGCTGAAGCCCCTTGCAACTCTGTTTTTCAATTAGCATCGATCACACTCGGTAAGATGAGCTGAAAGGTAAATGTGTGTTTAATGATGGAACACTCCAGGCCATTCGTCTTCTCCCCGAAGACTTGGAGCATCTGTTTGCTCGCTGGGAATAAGCAGGACTCCTCTCTCCCACAGAAATGATGACTGATGGATGGAACTTCCACAGAAGTCTAACTTGTTTGCTACGGCTTCTCTAATGTTACTGGGGGGATAAAAATGAATTCCTCACTAGCGATTTTTTTTTAAACTATCAAATTAAATGTGTTCATCATGTTAGAGTATTTTCTTATTCCCAGCATAATCTGAGTGTAGAATTTTTGGACTAAAAAAAAAGTAACTAGTTTATTTTGATACTCAAAGTTAGATTAAAAACAAACAACTCAGTAACTCTTCCCCTTAAGGACAAAAAGCTAACATCCAATGGGAAAGATAAAATAGCGGGTCATAGAAAATAAATGTTTCAAGAGCAGCGCTCAGAAAAATAGCTGAGATTATATCCTGTAGAATTGGTCTATCCCTACTTAGAATGTGGTAACCCAGTACATTCTCCTCTTTAGTACAAGAGTTCATTCCTTTCATAAATTTCCTGGTAGAACGTATGTAGCCCATTTGAATATTTCCCGTGATATGATGACATGGGGGCAGCTTTTCCCACTTCTGGACAGTTCTGGTTGTGAGAAAGATTATTTCTCCTGTTGAATTCAAGTTGGCTAAGGCCATTCTGGCTACTTATGCACTGACTGAAGGCATATTGTGTTTAAAAAGAAAGAAAGAAATTACACAACTAAATAATCCCTTTAAGAAGAATTGCTTGATAAGAAAATATTTAGGTCACACTTGGACTTTTTAAGATTGAAAATAAGTCTCCCCATTTCTTCCACTCACCTGTAACCCTAACAGTAAACATTTAGGCCAGGCTAGTTAAGAATGAATATGGTGACGTGGAAAACTAAATTAGAATTTTTAAATAATCTGGACATCCGTGAAGCTTAATACCTAGCCAAGTCTTAGCTCTGCTGGATTATGCTAGCAGCTCCCACCAATCTTTTACTTAGACCATGAGCACATATAACAAAATACTTCATTTGAATTTTATCTTTTGTTTATTACCTAAAGAATGTGCCACCCTATTAATGAAATAACTAAAAAATAAGAAGTATGAACTGTGTGTCATGGAGGAAAAGATTTCCCAATGTTGCAGAAGTACCATTTCTAAACAAAGGCAACAATTTACAGAGAAGACAACTTCTCCATAAAATTCTCTCCTACCGAGGAGGAGAACTCCATGATTTTACTGCCAACACTGGGGTCACTTTAGACAAACCGTTTGTTTTGATACAGATGGTAACATTTAAAAAACAAGTGCGCTGAGCCACAGACACACTTGGGGAAAGTCAGACGTGTTTCCATTAGTTTTTGGTCTCAAGCGTCTAATTATACCAGCCTGCTGAAACCATGACCACACAGACCAAATCTGGAAACATAACGCTATGCTTCATTCTACCTACGTACAGTACCAGGGGACCTTAGGAGGATGAAACATAAAGCAATATAAACACTAGGATACTCTAAGTATACAAAATATTTCGTTTCTCCAAGAGAAAAACACAAATTTGACATTTTCCAAAATATTTATATGATAACTTGAGAAACTGAAGACAACTTCAGTGGTAAGGATGGAGGAGTTTGGAAGAGTCTTGAGCATTAAAAAAATCTAAATTTGAAGGCACTTACATTTTGCTATCTTCCAGCTGAAGAGGTAACTCTTAAAAGGGTATGGCATATGGCATACTTGTGACATTTTCCTCCAATTTTAAGATCGTGGTGTCAGCAACCCTTAAGACACAGCCTCCTGATTCTTGTTAGTGATCTCAAAGCCCTGCATTTCTTGAAGCCAAACACACATGCATGACCCCTGCAGGTCCAGCCTCTGGCTCCTTCCTAAAAGCTGTGGCCTATAGGGTCACCACTCTGAGTGGGGCCATGAGAAACTCCAACACCTGCCAGGGGGTCATGAAAGCCGCCGTGCAGGGACTTCTAAGGGCTCTGGCCAGATGGGAAATGTTATCCAAAGATCTCAAGGCAAACTCTCTTCTCCTTCTAAGGCACTGCCCCAGACTCTGTTAGGCCAATGTTCACATGGTCCCAACAGGAGTCTGAAAATGCTGATCCAGTTTTAGTTCTCAGGTCCTCAATCCCTTCTCAGAGCAGCATTCGGCTTCAAACGTGAGTCCAGAATGGCCACTTGGGTGGAAACTACCCCAGACTATGTGTGGACTGATTATAAAGGGTTTAGTTAGACGATCAAATACCCGTAGGTGCTCCTATCGCTGACAGAGTAGGTGATGAGTTCCTAAATGCTTTCTACATGAAACAGGGCTCTAAACATAACTTTCAGTTTTAAAATCTTTAAGGTACTAGAAGAAAGCATTTAGAGCTAGAAGAACCTCAGAGACCATTCAGCAGAAACCGCTCATTTCACCACAGAAGCTAACCACTTTGCCCCAAGTGACACGGTTAAGATTTGTGTGAGGGCTATAGGAGCCGTGGGCTCCTGGTACCCATACACTTTCTGGTATTAAGCTTGGTCTAACAACCTAGAAGGAACCTAGACAGTCATCGGGGTGCCTTAGTGTCTTCACTTCTGTTGAAATGGCATTACCTTGGAGACAGGCCCCCATGGGAGCAGTTGGTAGGGGAGGTCAGGGGGCTGGTCCGGCTGCTGGGATGTCGAGAGGGAGTCCGGCCAATGGTGTTGCTCGGAGAGCCCTGGGGGAAGGCAGAAGAGCTCCATCACGCGAGGGATAAATACAGGACACGGTTCCGCTTGCCCCTCGGCCCTTGAACCCCCGTGCAAATAAATGGGCAGATTCTGCATAATCAGGGTGATTTTTTCCAGAATCATAAGGTCCATTTTAAGTGCATACAAACCCCAAATGGGCAACTGTCCTGCAGGCATTCCCAAAGCTGAGTGACTGCTGTCAGCTGGAGCAGACAGAGTGGCAGACACAACTGAGCATTTGCTCTACACGGGGACGGGTAAGTGGAGGCCACCAACCGTGACCCAAGCGCTCACCACACTGGTGTTACTGGAGTTCTTGAGGTGGTTATGCAGGAGTTTGGTGGCACCATCCTGGAATGTTTTTGGCAAGGCACCAAGTAACATGGTAAATTCAGGAGTGTTCAATTCAAACAGAGAGATGAGCACAATCTGTGCTGCCTAGAAACGGAAGAGATGGTTAATTTACGTCACGTACAATGGCCTATCTTGGTCAAAATGCTCGTTAAAGTTGTTTTACTTTATTTTATTTATTTATTTATTTTGGCCGCACCACGCAACTCGCGGGACCTTAGCTCCCTGACCAGGGATTGAACCCGGGCCCCCAGCAGTGAAAGCACAGAGTCCTAACCACTGGACCACCAGGGAATTCCCAAAATTGTTTTTAAAAGAAATCTGTTTTGTATGAGTAGAATAAATAATAAGAGGACATCTGTGCCATAAAAAAAACAAACAGCACCGAGAGAAAATACCATCATCAACTATAAACAGCCAAACTTCAATATGGAAAATCAGCCCTGGCTTCACTGAACACCTTGGCCTTGGGTTTTACAACAGCACATTAACAATAAACTCCTGAAACTTTTTCCCTCTGCTGTCCAACACTAGGGACAAAGCTGGTGAGTACATCAAGGAAACAATCAAAACATTTGAAAAGGCTTAAGATTGTCCATTCTAGTAAGTCAGAACCGGACAAGGCTCCTAGCACACCCTGGAAAGAACAAGTTTCTGAACAAGCTACCACTGTGTTATCTTGAAAAACCACTTTTCCTAGTGACTAAGAAACGTTAGAAATAGAGTTCAAATACATCTGAAAAACTCCTACTTTTACATCTATGAATTGGGGACAGAGACAGTCTTTGGGAAGCAAACTAGATTTACATGGTACGAATTAAAAAGTTATTACTCTTCTGCCTTTTGGAAAATGTTCTACTTTTCTTTATTAGAGACAACATATGCTCGTAGTGGCTATAGCAGCAAAGTGGGGAAGAGCAAGCAGCTAGAACACCAGCAGTGAGACCCAGGCTTCCCCGGAAAGCTACATGCCTGCTATGATGCTCGAGCTTCGAAAACAGTGCCCTCGGAGTTAGTTACAAGGGTTTTGATTTAGAAGAACTATTCCAAAAGAAAATTTTAGTTAGTACTAACAGGCATTTCTTACAAATTTCTAAGAGTCAAAAGAAAGGAAAACTATTATGAAAATCTTTCGACTAGAAGCAAACATTTATTTTTCCAAAGACTGTAATATTTAGGATTGCAGTAATTATCCTAAATTTTTTTCCCACTATATAGAATATTACATAGAAACATGTTTGCTGAGAAATTTTTTGGAAGTAAACACCCACAAAAAAATCCCACTTCAATGCTTTTATAATGTTAAAATTAATTCTAGGTCCAGTTAATATAAAATTACTATTTTGTACCTGGAGAAGGAAAAAAAAAAAATCCAAAGACCCAAATGTATTTAACCAAAATGAAAACTTAATTACAAATTTTGAAATATCAGTAGAATAACATATTTTACACAATAAAAAATTATCTTTCATAATGTCATAAGCATTTATTAAGCACAGCATTGGGCAAAAGGATCTTACTTTTACCCTTGACTTCCAAATATGGTCATTAATAGCCTCTCTAACCAAATTAAATCATAAGGGCCAGTGTGCTTTCACAAGACAGGCAAAAGACATTATTATTGATTGTACTAAAACACACATTTCTACATGTCATTATTGGAACAGTTTTAACAAATCGTTATCTGAAGAAATCTATTTCACCATCAATTTAACACACTGTTAATATGATTTGTATAAAAGCAAATTCCCCAAATCATGCAAAGTAATCTGTGCATTAAAAAAAATTTTATTAGATGTTGGAAAAAAATGCATGCAGAAAACACTGCACTTCAAAGAGAAGCAAAGAAGCAGACTTGAGTTTTGGCCAAGGGAAAAAAAAATCAGCATCACCAATTTAATAAGAAAGTTGAAAATGCTGAAAATGGCATTAGAAAACTATTAAATGTATTATCACATTTTTGAATAGCATGTTTTTATGTGAAATGTGCCACTGTCTTTAGACCTAATTTCTTCCCAGAATGACAAGATACCTGATACTAAAAATTTACTTGGGGTTTTCCATGATGCAAATTATAAAACTGGTAGGATCTTTTGAGAACAAGAGGGCTGCAAGGTGACAGGCCTAGAGACTGTGCTAATTCGTGGCTACTTAACATTAGTGACTTTTCGTCATATGGGAAAAGAAAGAGCAGCAGACTTCAACTTCTACCCACTGAAGAACCTTCTCTCAATAACCCTAAAGTTGAATTTTGATAAGAAATCAAATAGAAAGACAGGGAATTCTGAAAATAACTCGTTGGACAGATGGTATGTGTGTGACTTACGCATATAAGTGAATATAATTTGTTTTTGCATTTTCCAAAATATAAAATGTAAATGATTTTATTAGTTTTCAAAAGTAACCCTTTGGCCTAAAGCTGTTTTCAAAGTAAAATCTTTTTCTGAAACCCAAGCTCCAGAAATGGATGGAAAGTATCATTTAAGTATATTATTTTTAAAAGATTTCACATCAAAGTTTTAAAAGGAATGAGACTGTTATGATCCTGAAACACTTTATCTACAACTCTCTGTATCAGTGAGGAGTCTGAATACCAGAATGTCCAGGCAAGGATGACAACTGGATTATATTTATCGTTACCATCAATATGCTCTCACTGCAGGAATAATTCCAAATATGGGCATGGGCTGGAGAGATTCATTTTAAAAAGCCTGGGGCAGAGCTCGTGTTCAATAATGAGCCCAAAACCAGAGGGTGTCGCTGTCCCAACTTGGAGCTCCTGCCCCACGTGAGGAAGGGCCATTGAAAAGCCAGACCAAACCAAAACCTCTGCTGCTGACGTTTTCTAACGGGCAACTCTGGGGCGACATACTTTAACGACCAAGCGGCGACCTAAAAGGAAATGACTCCCACTTGTGCCCCTACAGTAGAACTTGGGGGGTGAGGGTAAAAGGGCCTTCAAATCTCAGCGCTAGTGTCTGAAAAGAACCTGCAGGCTAGCGATGGCCTTGAATGCCATGTGCCTCACAGCAGAAAAGGATTCTTCCAGACAGGAGATCAATAAAACTTTGACAAATGTTTCAGTGTCAGTATTAATTATGGAGAACTTAAAATTTGAGGAGAGGGCTTTTTAAATTTATTAAACAAATATTACTGCTCCCTTCAGACTGTGATTAAAATTGCTTTAGAAAAACCACCAAAGAGAAGGTATTTCAAAACCTTCGGACATTTTAAATTTAGTATCTCTCCATTGCTATTTTGTTAAAATATGGTAGAAGCCTGTCTGCAACGTGGCTATTTCTTTGGGAAGGCAGTTAATCATAAAACATACCAAAACACAACATTTACACAGGTGCACGCACGCACGCGCACGCACGCTCTGGCTCACGTAGTATTATGTTAATTTTAGGGTTCTTCAAAATCTTCTGTGTCTTCACAAGGGTAATCAGGATTAACAATCTCAATGCAAACACTGAAGTGTCTTTTTGCAAGTTAGCACACAGTTTTAAATCTACCTGTTTACAATTTTCTTCCAAGTTTCCTTCTCCAGGCCCAGAGCAGGTGGAGGCTGACCTAGTGGGGAAATCCTCACCTATTCGACTACGCTGAAGCGGGGACGGACAAACAGGAAAGGGGTAGGGTTTAATCAGAGACAAGAAGCACGCGCTCAAAACCACGGTTATTGGTAAGCTGTACAGGTATTTGGCTTCTTTTCTAAAGTCATATATATAGAGAGAGATTATACAATCTAAAAGTCTGTGAATAATAACGGAACAGTAACAGTATCCTTAAGAATAATAACAGGAACTGCCAGTGTTAAACCTCCATCATTTGCTAAGTCCTTCATAATCATCACAATGCCTCCTGGAAGTAACAGTGTTCTTGCAAACAGATCAAAATGAGACTTGAGCGAGGCAGTCATATTCAGCTGAGGTTCAAATCTTATTTGATGGTAAAACTCTGAGCTTTTAGATTAGGACACGCTGCCTATGTATAATCAGAGATTTAAAATTTTTTTCAAATAGAAATGTCGACTTTTGAAGGCTATTTATATATACTTTTCCTGCTCCAGGCAACAGCACCTTTATAATCTCTAATTTTCTTTGCCATGCCTTTACTTCCCGCCTTTCTCAAAACAACATTTGGGGGCTAATAAATCTGCTAGTTCACTTGACAAAGCAGGTGCTCAATGTTAGAGAATCACGTATGATAAGGGAAACATACAGGGATTCTGAACCCTAAAATATAAACATACCATTAAAATTTCTATCGTCATTACCGCATTCCCTTTGCCTGATGGGAAAAAAAAAAGTCTTCCTAATGCTGGAAAAAATTTGGACCAGCAGCAAAACCAAAGCAACCCTCAAGCAGTAATAGCTGAAGCTACAACAACAAACAGAGTAGTATCTATCTAGGTTTTTATATGCTTTATTGCAGTTGGTCCTCCCAACAGCGCCTAAAGCAAATATCACGATTCCCATTTCATGGATAATAAACAAGGATTCAGAGGTTAAACTACTTGTTCACACCGCTAAAAAGTAGCAGAGGCAGAAGTCAACAGAGGTCAACTCTAGAATACACTGTATTATCCTAATACAGACACAGTGCATTCAGAAAGGTCTAGTGATTTCTCCAGAGAAGATATACAGGCTGCCAACAAACACATGAAAGGATGCTCAACATCACTAATCATTAGAGAAACGCAAATCAACACTACAATGAGGTATCACCTCACACCAGTCAGAATGGCCATCATCAAACAGTCTACAAACAATAAATGCTGGAGAGGGTGTGGAGAAAAGGGAACCCTCTTGCACTCTTGGTGGGAATGTAAACTGATACAGTCACTATGGAGAACAGTATGGAGGTTCCTTAAAAAACTAAAAATAGAACTACCATATGACCCAGCAATCCCGCTACAGGGCATATACCTGAGAAAACCATAATTCAAGAAGAGTCAAGTACCACAACGTTCACTGCAGCTCTATTTTCAATACCCAGGACATGGAAGCAACCTAAGTGTCCATCAACAGATGAATGGATAAAGAAGATGTGGCACGTGTATACAATGGAATATTACTCAGCCATAAAAAGAAACGAAACTGAGTTATTTGTAGTGAGGTGGATGGACCTAGAGTCTGTCATACAGAGTGAAGTAAGTCAGAAAGAGAAAAACAAATACCATATGCTAACACACATATATGGAATCTAAAAAAAAAAAGATTCTGAAGAACCTAAGGGCAGGACAGGAATAAAGACGCAGACGTAGAGAATGGACTTGAGGACATGGGGAGGGGGAAGGGTAAGCCGGGATGAAGTGAGAGAGCAGGACGGACATATATACACTACCAAACGTAAAATAGCTAGCTAGTGGGAAGCAGCCGCATAGCACAGGGAGATCAGCTCAGTGCTTTGTGACCACCTAGAGGGGTGGGATAGGGAGGGTGGGAGGGAGACGCAAGAGGGAGGGGATATGGGGGTATATGTATATGTATATGTATAGCTGATTTACTTTGTTATACAGCAGAAACTAACACACCACTGTAAAGCAATTATACTCCAATAAAGATGTTAAAAAAAAAAAAAAACTAAAATACGAAAAAAAAAAAAAAAAAGGTTAAAAAAGTTTAAAAAAAAAAAAAAAAGATGTTAAAAAAAGAAAAAAGAAAGGTCCAGCGTATGTCTGTGTAGTTTGGTCAACACAACTCTCAGGACTCCCATACTTCAAAAATGGAAAAGGTTACTCTGGGAATAAAGCAGGCCAGTTAAAGCTGGGTGGGGCTTTTCCATCCATCCAGGTCAGTCCCAGCCAGGCAAGCGCGCCTCCTGACGACTGGCTCGTGTTTTGGTTTAGGTTGTGTTTCCTCCCTCCTCAACATCTTAAATATTCAAACACCCGACTCCCTCTGAGAGGAAACACCCCAGAACACTGACATAAAAAGAGAAACAAAATATCAAAAACACTGAAGTCAGTGAATCAAGAGTTTTGTCAGCTTAAAATGTGTCTAAAGTTGTTTCCCAAATAGGAGATATACCGAGGAGGCGCTGCACTGCCTGCAAACTTCCCGAGTACTGTTTGTATAAAATTAATATTCTCTAAGGATAGGGTCAATATGAGAGTTTACTGCATAGATTTCAGACTGTAGGGCTCTTCTAGTATTTAGAATGTAACCTTGCCCTACTCTTAGGAAATTAAGTCAGCACCAACAGGAGAACTTGGTTCATGATCAGAAAGTGCTTTTCTGATCATGAAAATCACCAAGATTTCCCTAGCACCTGATACAACCTTTTAATAACTCTGCAAATTACAGGCAAGGCAAAACATATGTCTACTTAGAAGAGATAAGCAATCAAGTCTTTAGTGCACTAAATTATCCAGATGAAAATGCTGCCTGTTTTCTTTCCTTGCAGATTTAAAATAACAGTGATGACAATTTAAAATCTTAGCACAGAGTGATATATACCATATCACAATTTCTAAGCATTTTAATTTACTTAGGCACTATATTCATTTAGACAATCTTTAGAACACATCTCAAATTCTTGGATAAGGCGGGTGCATCACTGACAACAGCATGTACATTTATATAAATATCCAGTGGATGGAACCGCAAAACAGAGCATTTAAATAAAAGCGGCTCTATCTCCAGGAAGGATTCACCTGTATGGGGCAAAAGAACACGCATTTGAATACTGTGCTTTAACAAGCCCATCCTAGTGAGTGCTCGATGGATACAACTAAAAGCCAAACAATCAAAGCCACGAATATCTTCGAGGATGAAAAAAAAATTTCACCGGGTGCTCAGAATGCAGAGATGCACCTGCTAACATGAACCTCATTACAATTTGCATAGTTAGGGAAAAAAGCTCCCTATTCAGGTAAGAGCTAAGGAACTACCGAATAACTAACTATGGAAGACTCATGCCAGGCCGCCGAAAACCAAAGCCTTGGTAGGCAGAGCGTAAGGTGGGCCCCAGGGTCCCCGTCTTCTGGTGGGTAAGCCTTACAGCCCTTCCCCAGGGTGAGCGGGACTTGCGCATGTGATGGACTTCACTCCCATAATTACGTTACATGGCAGAAGGGGTTCTGCAGGTATAATTAAAGTCCCTCCCTAATTGGCTGACTTAAAGGGCAGATTATCCTGTGTGGTGATAATCAGGTGAGCCCTTTTTAAAGAGGCAGAGAGGTTAAAATGAGAGTCTCCTGCTGGCTTCATTTTAATTTATCTTTCATTTTTGACGAATAGTTTTGCTGAATAGAGATTTTGGGTTTTTTTGTTTGTTTTTTTGCGGTACGCGGGCCTCTCGCTGTTGTGGCCTCTCCCGCTGCAGAGCACAGGCTCCGGACGCGCAGGCTCAGCGGCCATGGCTCACGGGCCCAGCCGCTCCGCGGCATGTGGGATCCTCCCGGACCGGGGCACGAACCCGCATCCCCTGCATCGGCAGGCGGACCCTCAACCACCGCGCCACCAGGGAAGCCCTCTCTTTGGGTATTTATCATTCATTAATTCACTGAAAATACTTACTAAATGCCTACTTTGTTTTACAGGTCTTGTGCTAGGTGCTGAGCATGCAGGGTGAACAAAAGCGGAGAGGTGGAGGAGGCACGGGGAACGGCAGGGCCAGGCCTCGCCCTGAAGACACCCAGGGCCCAGGCTGGGCCCCGAGAGAATTAGCGGCAACCAGGTCAAGACTACGTCAGCAGCCTGCGTGCCTGAGGTTCAGTCCCAGGGGAACGGTCTAAACTGATGGGCCTCAACACTGCATTAAAGATCAGCCAAGAGTGGAAGGAGCCCCGACCAGACACAGAGCAACGTCCACGCTGCACTCTGCACCAGTGAAGTCAAGTGACTGCGGGGAGAGCACAGCCATCTAGGTTAGTTTTCATTGCAGCCAGGACTGAGAACTACTGACGTAAAGCTTTTCAGCTACCTCTGAGGGGCCGCGATTACTGTCCCGGAGGCCAGGTTCGACCTCGGCCTGAAGGTGGGGTGTTTGGCAGTCCTCACAATGGGGAAGGGGAAGACCTGCGGGCAGACACTGGAGGCAGTGTTTTGATGCCCCAGGCTAGATAACTCAAGGAAAAACATTCCTCTAGTGTCCTGATTAGAAAGGTTAGGACAATAAATCCAGCTCAAATGTTTAATGTGCACGTCCAGAGAAAGTAGCCATAATGACCAAAGCTGGCTGTTCCCATACGGGCCCTAATCATGATAATAACGTGCATGTCTAAAACATCTTCCAGCCCCATGGGAGGGAACGCTTCAGTAACCTTCAATTACAAAAACACATACTCATATAGACACACGTACTCAACGTGCTATGACGAAAGATAGGAAGCTGTACTTGGGCTCTTGTAGTTCTTGGTTGATCTGTGACTTTGAAAACTGGAACACAAATATCTTTCTGACGTTCCCATCAACCAAATCATGCCACCACCTCCCGAGTCCCAAAGAGGCTTAATGGTTAAATTGAAGGTTGCCAGTGAAATGCTCTTTCAATAAATATTGAAACATTTTACAAACAGATCATAAATCAAAAATATTATTTACTATTAGAACAGTAATTTTGAATGAGTGCTTTAATAAAATTCATCCTTGTTTCTTTGACCTTGGACAACTTAGTTTATTACTGTACAATGGCTGGAGAATTACACTGGCTGTGACCTTCCCAAAGAAACCCTGCAGGTGGTTCTTTGGTTCCCTTCCTTGGATTCCATTAGAGCAGGAGCTAGGTGTTCAGGGGCATTTGGAACCACAACAACCTCGCTAACTACCTCTTGGAATCATCCTTAACCCTGCCTCGACCCAAGTGGTCCACGTTACCAACTCTACCCCAAGGCCAAAGGACTATTTTGGCACGGATGGCGGTGGAAGGAGTATACTACGGGGAAAAAAGAAAAGAAAAAAAAAAAAAGCAAGGTTCACGATTACATACAAATAACCAAAATCAAGTACTTTTAGTCTGAAACCAGAACTAAGAAATCTGGTTTTTATCAGTAACTTTGAAAGGCTAGCTTGTTTATATATAAAGTAAAAGAACAATGGCCATGTGTGAAACTCAAGTGTAGAAGAACAGGACACTGACAGGAAGAGAATAATAGAACCAACGAAGAGGGCGACAACTTACACTTCCTGTGTGCTTATAACCTGTCAGGAATGGATCATGCTTTTAACATATATGAATTCATCTTCATAGTAGTCCTAAGGCAGAATACTACCTAAGAATAGAAATAACAGGGTCCCGTGCTCCCTCCACTGTGTTATATGCCTTTCAACGTGCCATTTCAGAAGAAAATAGCAAATATTTCTCTTCAGGTGATTGAAAAAAAAAAAAAAGCAACAACACAACATCTTGGTATCAGGGTGTCTCCCATGATACAAGATTTCAGATTTTCATTTTGATCTTCAAAGGCTGCAACTAGACGGAGCTGGAGGGACAGGAGCAGAGCCTTGGTTTCCTAGAAAAGGAGCGATAGTGGTTTGCGTGTAGGCTTGTGGGTGGTTTACAAGTTCCCATAAATGCCTCTTCGTGACACGTGCCTAAGGACATACCTTTCTCACGTCTGAACTCTTTGGTTCTGTCGTCCAGGTTATAATTCTAGAAACAGCAAGCCTTGTCTCACTAGAGTTTATGAAATCTGTTGGGTCCATCTGCCTAGCGAGAGACTCGATGTACTTCAGGATTGCAACTTTGACCTGAAAGATCCAGCAATTATAAACAGTAGGTACACTTTATAAATCTTTGAACAGAACTCTTAACTGGTGCTCAGAGAAAAGAACACACTACTGAGGGGACACCACCTTTCTCCTGGATTTATGTTCCTACATGCAGGGGCCCTCCAGCAGTGAAAAAGCATGAGATGACTAACAGGGAAGCCTGGGAACAGAAGGGAGGCCTGCAGCCTAATCCCCTTCCCTCTGTGACTGCCGGGCCTGCAGAGAAGGCAGGCTCTGCTCCTCACAGACGCCGCAAGACACGTGCCGGGCAGGAGCCCCCGCTGGGGTGAGGGGTGGAGGCACCAGGGGGACCTCCAGCTCTGCCACCGACCGCGGGGCAAGTACAACTCTGTGTGAGTTTTATTTTTCAGCCACTCTAGGCCAGGTCTTGCAAGGCAGCACTGAAGGTAATTCAATAATTACCTTCAATAATTCAATAATTCTGCTCTAACTTCCCCACCAAGGTCTCACTTGGTTTTGACATCAGGAGAAAAGGGTTGTTATTTATTGGGCCTCTCCTAAAAACCTCAGCAAAATTAGTGATCAAAGAACAGACAATGTACCTGATGTCATTCAAAGGAGCACATCCTCCTTCAAATACCATTAGTTCATTCTTATGGGTATGATGTTTATAAAACATGCCAATTCATTTTTCACGTGTTACGACGTTAATATTAAAAACATTCCAATAAGATACCTATTTTAACACATCAAAATTCTCTACATTAAATATTAATGTGAAACACTGTAATAATGCCCAAATGTTGGTAAGGATGTGGAGAAACTGGAGTTCTCAGACACCGCTGGTAGGAATATAATCTGACATAACCATTTCGGCAGTTTAAAATAAAGTTAAGCATGTCCCTACCCAATAAACCAGCAACTTCTCTACTATGTACTGAACCAAGAGAAATGGAAACATGTTGCTTACAGCAGATTTACTCACAATAGCCAAATATGAGTCATGTATAAACAAGTATATTTTAAGCAAATTTGACTTCTAGAGGTTGAACTATAATGACAAATAGTTACCGACCTTGAGGTTAGGAGTTTGGGTTTGATCCACAATAAATCTCATCAAAATGTTAAACTGCTGATCAAATGGAAAGGAGTCCCTAGGTTTAAAAAAAAAAAAGTATTTTAAAAGAAAGACTTATTACAAAAAACAATGTAAAATCATATAAGAAACAAAAATACACTATTATAGATTCCTCTAACATATGTAAAAAGCAAGCATGTTTATATTTTTTAAATATTACTTTTCATTTCATGTAAATACTAAAGCAATACACATTACATAGAAAACATTTCTTTTTTGTTTTGATTTTTGTTTGGCTGCACCGCATGGCGCACGGGATCTTAGCTCCCGGAACAGAGATGGAACCCGGGCCCAGCGCTTGAGAGCACCGAGTCCTAACCACCAGACCGCCAGGGAATTCCCTAGAAAATTTAGAAAAGGGGAAATCTTGTTAAAAGTCTTGAAACACATAAACTGAGCAATGAATGTCTGCTGGCCTTCTTGGGATCTGCTCGTCTTCTTTCCAGGTACCTTTCGGAATACTGCTCACATGAGAAACACTTCCATCGCCCAAATCTAACTTTTACATCCCGATGAGGCTGCTTGCAGCTGCCCTTGCTGAAGCTGCCTGCACAGCTCCTGGGGTCCTCGCTGGGTAACCGCCCGTAAGCTGGCTTTGTGCGGTCACCACAGAAGAGCGCCGTGGGACACTCACCCAGAGACACCCCTCTCCAGCTACAGACACACACAGGAGCCTGGGACCCTAGGAGTCCCACTCCGGCTCCACTTCTCGCCTGTGACTCATCTCATTTCTCGTGGTCCTCTCACATTTTTGATCCAACTGAGTAACCCTGAGGGCTCTTGGCGAGCGAAAGTTAGCGCCCTCTCCCTTAAAAAGCCACAATTACTAGCATGAGTTTACAATTGCCTGAAGGAGCCCTTGTGCCTAATGCAGAGGTCCCTTCCATGCTAACAGGAAAGATAATGCAACGCAAAGATCTATTCCAGTTGAGGCTGAGTGACTGCATCACTTTCTTTTAGACTCCCTCAGAGACGATTCTCAGTGTACGTAAGGATAGTAGAAAGAAAAGGGACGCAGGTTCAAATCTTTCAGATTACAGAACTGATTTGAAATTTAAATGAAATAATATAAGAAAAACATAAAGTGTGTGGCACATACTGTTACTAGTAGTACCACCATCATAATTACTAATAAAAAGTAAACCTGACCAACAGCACATCCTTTTCTCCCACATCTATTTGTATCCAGGAAGCTCTGAGGACCACCTCTGGAAGCAAAGCGCATCTTAGTATATATGATTTAAGTGACTCATACTGGCCACACATCAAAGAAACAAACCACACACAGAACACCTCTCCTTTCTTCTACAGCAAAGGGAGGATGGAGAATACATCTGAGCAATGGGTGTATTTAAGCTGGAGCTGCGCCCTGCTGTCGAGCGCAGCCAAAGGAAAGGAAACTGAGGCAGATTCACAATCAGTTCTATCACCTGAGGAACAGCTCTCAGCCACCACTGAGACGCCCTCGGTACTCACAATCCTAGATAAGCTGAAAGAGCTAAACATCCCAGCTGCCGAGAAAAAGGGACATATGCCTTGGGGACCTAGGCCAGGGAATTCCCCAGAAGAGGGTTCTTAAAGGAATGAGGCATCCAGGAAAACTAACAGGAGGGCACAGTTATTTCCCTTAATCACCAAAGATCAGAAATATAATCGTAATATTTCCATCATCCCTAAAACTCTGAAATGGATCTTCTGTCATTCATAAATTCACCTAAATTAAGGAAGCAATCTACAGGCTAAAGTCTGGCTTACAAATGTTTTCCTTGGCTTTCACAGTGTCATTTTAAAAAAATATATCTTGGAATATCTTGCCTTAATCCACATTTCTGACCTTTCTTGAAAAGCCTGGACCACTGGGCCCACATCCCCTGTGACCACAACTCACCGCAGCTCCCCAGCCTCTCGCGTAACAGCCCTGCTGTTTACATCGCTCGTGTATCATCAGCTGCGTCAGCTCAGCCTCTCTAGTCAACCTCTGGCCAAACTGTGAGGAATCCACTGGTGTAGAGGACTGTCCCCCAACTGCACTACACTTAGTCACCCACAGGAGGGATGGTGCCTGAAAGCCTTACTGCAAATACAGTACATTACAGTGAGTTCACTGAAAATCTAAAGGGAAATCTACTTGGATAATAAAATTCTATAGCAGCACAAATTACACAGATCTCCAGGGTCGGGGACCAAAAGAAAAGCTGGCATCACAGTGTAGAGGAACAAATGTAGGCTTGGCAGCCACAGACATCTAACAGATGCAAGCGCAGGGGACAATGACGGGGCAGTGTGATGCCCTCCACACTCCCGCAGGCCAGCCGGCGACCACAGGACACACAACAGAGTGACAGCCGGCTCTCCTGGATGCTGGCTCCCGGGCTGCCACGCGCAGGAAGTGGGGCTCCGGGTGTGTCAAGGTACTCTCTGTTTCCTAATTTTATAATGAAATGAGAAAGGTCCTTCCATTTTGACAATTCTATGATACCTACTCATATCCCAGTTTGCAGTAACGGGTCATATAAAAGTTACTATGCTGATGATGATTCTCTGAGTGACCTGGAGACATCTGTTTATTCTTTTAAAAATTCAGCAATCTGACACATTCCCCTCCGTCATCCACCAAATCACAACCAAGACATTACTGCGAACCATCTTCTGAGATCCTTCAATTTCTATCACTTCTGTGTCGAGGATTTACTATTGCACAGGCAAAGGTCAGAAGTTTGTTTCCAAACAATAATGGCACAGAGTCAGTTTTTTTACACTTTTTCTGAGTCTCAGTAGCTTTTCTTTTCTCATAAAGGCCAGATGGGCTACAAATATTGTAAGTGTGTTATCATCTCTAGCCAATGAACTGTTAATAGAAACTATTCCTGGATGAACAGGAACCCTATACCACACATGAACAGAAATATTCCTAGTGTGCCTTACAAGAGGCTGAAGTCGTAAAAATACTAAGGTCTTCAGAAGGATGCTCATAAATATTCTAAAGTGTTTTTTAAAGAGAAGAGAACCAATTTTCAATGTTTTTTTTTCTTTTTTTTACATTTGTCTTAGGCATTCACAAAAATAATGTCAACTCAAGGAAGATATGGGCATTTCATCTCATGCATTGTTGGAATATTTCAACATATATGTTAATAAGAGAATGTGGGAATTAAGTAAGAAAGTAGATATTCAACTGGGTGACAAAAGCCACAGGTAACAAAATGACAAGAAACCACCTACAAAGACTCTCTTAGTATCAAAATGGTCTAGTGCCCCCGCCCCACCAGTAGACATTTTCCCAAAGAGGACATACAAATGGCCAACAAGTACATGAAAAGGTGCTCAACATCACTAATTATTAGAGAAATGCAAATAAAAACTACAATGAGGTATCACCTCACACCTGTTAGAATGGCCATCATCAAAAAGACAAGAGATAACAAATGCTGGTGGGAATGAAAATTGGTGCAGCCGCTACGGAAAACGGTATGGAGGTTCCACAAAAAAATTAGAACTAGCGAATTCCCTGGTGGCCTATCGGTTAGGACGCAGAACGTGCTGTGGCCCACGTTCAACCCCTGGTCAGGGAACTGAGATCCCGCAAGCCACGTGGCGCAGCCAAAAAAAAGGAAAAAAAAGAAAAAAAAAATAGAACGACCATATGAGCCAGCAACCCCACTGCTAGGTATATATCCGAAGGAAATGAAATCAGTATCTCAAAGAGATATCCGACCCCATGTTCACTGCAGCAAGTGAACCCCATATTCACAACAGCCAAGACATGGAAACAACCTAAGTGTGTTGATGGATGAACGGATAAAGAAAATGTGGTGTAATATAAATGGAATATTATTCAGTCATAAAAGAGAAGGAAATCATGCCACTTGTGACAACATGGATGAAACTTGAGGGCATCGTGCTAAGTGAGACAAGCCAGATAGAGAAAGACAAATACTACATATCACTTATATGTGGAATCTTTAAAAAAAAAAAAAAAGTCAAACCCATGGAAACAAAGAGTAGAATGGTGGCTGCCAGAGCCTAGTGGGGTGAGGGAAATGGGGAGATGTTGGTCAAAGGGTACAAACTTCCCGTTACAGTTATAACACTTGCTAAGAGAACATATCTTGACTGCTTTTACCACATAAGCAACAAAAAATGGTAATTATGTGAGGTGAAGGATGTGTTAACTGACACTGCAGTAATCATTTAGCAATATATACATGTACCAAATGCTCACATTATGCACTTAAAACTTACACAATGTTGTATGTCAGTTTTACCTCAAAAGGTGGGAAAAAACGATCTTGCCCCCAAACACTTGCCTTGTGACGTCGAGAGCCTTCTGAACTTTCGCTTGCACAGATCCAAGCAAATCTGCTCCCATTTTCTTAAGCAATTGTGTGAGAAGAACAAAAAGCCAGTCTTGCAAGTCATCCTTATGAATTATTATAAAATCCACAAGAGTCTCCAAAAACATACTGAAAACCTAGACACAAATGGAAACCAAGTATTTCACATATTTAATTCATGATTTCCTCCCAAGTCTCCAAAATGATAAAAATGCCCATCTTGGCTTTGTCCAGAATCATAACTGGGGTTGACACTGTCCACAACTGGACATGGCATAGGAGGCAAACGCAGTAACAAGAACAGATAAAGGAAAAGGGGTCGGAACTTACTCTCTGGTGTGAATTCCACCGCAAACCAGGCCATGCAACGAAACAGATTCCATGTTAGTCCACAGTGAAGTCATACAAGTTTCATGCAGTTTCTTAAAAGGCCTGAAAAGGCTACAAACTGACGAAGTAACTCTCCCCTCCCTCTACATGCCTTGAAAATTCAGTACAGAGAGAAATTAACTTTGCTGAAAATATGAGTCTAATCCTGGAGGTCTTTCCTTCCTTTCCTTTCCTTTTTCCTTTCCTTCCCTCCTTCCTTCCTCCCTCTCTCCCTCTCTCTCTCTTTCCTTTCTCTCTCCCTCTTTTTCTTTAAAAAACCTTTTAACCATCATAATTCTATACTATTATTGCTCATCACCTAGCATTCAACAAAAACTATTACAGGATGAGGGGAAAAAAAACTTGCATATGTATTGCTTTTCATTTCAGTCATCTATTTTGATGTATGCCCGGTCAGATATTATAAAGTATTATCTTTATGAAAAGATATTACAAGAGCCATACCAATCTTTATAAAAGATTATGGCTTGGGATGAAAGACACCGACAGTTGACATAATCCTCACGCTGCTGTGTGATCACCACTGCTCCCTACGGTGAGACAGAGCTCACGGTGGATCACCCCTGAACCAGTCTCAGAGAGGTTAGCGGTGGCACTGCGCACCCTACTTGGTAAATGCGTCCTGCTCTCCTGGGACAACCCGGCTATCGCAGACCTACTCAGTTCTAGCTCAGCAACATTAACCACCAGGGGTCTCCCGTGAGACAGCTCAGAAAGAAGTCAATGAGCCCCAGCTGTGGGATTCCTGGCTTAGCACAAAGGCAGCTAGCAAATATTTACTAAACTGAGACCTGCAAACTCACTGTACAAGAGCCTTCTGATGGAAACAAATTTCCTTCTTTATCCTCACATTCTGGTTCTGAATCAGCAATCTAGAGGTGACAGGTAATAGAAATTTCATCAATGTCCAAATCCATCTAATATCCCTGATGCTATACATCTTACAAACCTTATGCTTATGCTTTAAATCTTACTGCTTTTAATACTATCTTAGAGAAAATCTTGATAATTATATCTTTGGATATCTACCTGGTCCTTAAACTCAACGTTTGTGAATGTCAACCTTGCTGTGAGGGTCATAACAGGAATTTTAAGACATGCTTTAAGACCAATATTGAGGAGAACTGTTGCCCCCGCCCCAAAAAGGAGCACCCCTGCATTCATTCTTCTATGCTCCCGTGAGCATTTCAAGAGGCAGGGAGGGGTCCTGTGTTGTTTTCTGTATCCCTAGCCAAGAGTGGGTGCTCAGTGAATGCTGAATGACTGCACGGATGGATGGATGATTGACACTTCACGGACAATTCCTGTGAGGACGAAAGTGTAGGAAAAGAAGGGGGATCACAGTAACTGGCTAGACTTTCTGGCCACCACAGATTTCTTTCTCCCAGGAGGATTTATTTAGAAGAGGCCATTTTTACTAGGAAAATGATAGTGTAAGACAGTTAAGTCTTGCACATCAAGCATTTAAGATTTGCTGGTGCTGATTTCTGGTTCCCTCAATTTCTACTTTAGTTTCTGTCCTTTACCCTTTAACTTTCCCGATATCTTCATTCCTCTGTTTTTTCTTTCTCTAAAACCATCGAACAGCAACAGCCTGCAAAGCCTTCCTCCCAAAAAATGGTATTTATTTACAATCTAAACTCCAAGTGAACTTTTGTCAAGGGTCCCGCTCTCAGCTCCACTCCTAGAAAGGGCCTGTCCCTCACTCCTGGGTGCTCTCCCCTCAGCAGGGAGTCCTTGTCAAAAGGCAGTCCTCCTCCGGTCCCCAGGAGGTGTAGGCACCAGCTAAGTGACCACCATCCAGCAAATTCTTAGAGGCGGCAATTCTATTGGTGTCTGGAGAAATACTTAATGTGGTTCTTCAGTAAATCCATTTTATAAATGCTTCCATTTGTCTATCTTGTCCCATATAGACAAATTCTACATGGGTACCCAAAAAAAAAAAAAAATTACATAACTTGATTATTTTCTTCACTACTGTAACTTTTTTCAGGAAGGCATTATATTATAACACACTGTTACATCCTAGCACCCAGCCCACCATTTGGCTAAGTATGCAAAAATATTTGCTGAATAAGTAAAAGACTACATCTCATTCTCTCCACGGGAACCCTTACTTGAAACACACTTTATTTAACTTGATGTCGTATGGACATTGGAAGTTTCTAAGAATTCTGTTTTCAGAAGCCATAACAAACTATTGCTGAAATTGGGGTTCAGTCTGTAAGGTCTACACTGTGCTGCGGGTCTGGTATCCCACTCTGAAGTCGTGTATTATGCGGCCCACACAGACATGCAGAGAGGAACACAAGTGGGCAGGTTCCCCAGACCTTACCTTGCTGTGAGGGTCAGCAAACATTCGGGTGAAAATCTCACACAATCTTTTCAACTCCACCCGACTAGAGGAAACAAAATAGAAATAAATAAATTTAATATTTAATAAGCCCGTACTGAAATTAGTTACAGCTTCTCAAAATCCTTTTATTTCGTTCCACTACATAACTTTTATATAATTTTTATATAACAAAGTCCTTTCTTCACAAATCAATTATCTAAATTTTAATTTATGATGGAACTGCACAGGAATAAAAAAATCACGATCATCTTGCTCTCATTCTAAAATGAAACTGACTCTCAGAGCGTGATCACCTGAGTTCACACATGTGGGCGTGGCAAAGCCATGAGCCACATCCCGCTCACCTCGTTGCAGGTGTGTTTCCACCACCACAAATGAAAGGCAATGGGATCAACTAGGAAAAGCATGTGCTTCGGGGTCAGACAGACCTGGATTTTAATCTCAGTTCTGCTAGAGCCAAAGTACTCTGATATCTTTGTATCCATTTCAGTGAACTGCTAAAAGGATTAAAGAATACACCCTACCTGCAACCGTGCCTGGGACAAAGCAAACACGCATTTCATGTCGGTGCCCCTGTGACTTTTCTTACCCTGAACTGTACTACTGAATCCCATTTCTGCTTCGAGGTTTCATTAGAAAGACTCACCTTCTTCCCCAAATCATCCCTCTCAGGTTGGGTGATCCTTTAACATTGCTAACAATGAAATCTAGATCAGACCAACGCTAATCAACAGATTTCTAGAGATTATTCAATGGATACTTGGTGAACACTAAGAATCAAGAAACTGGGGCCACGAGAATTGAGCAGATTCTTGACGAATGATGACAGCAAATCCTTTTTTCTGTTTTTTGACAGGTCACTAGAGCACCAGAGAGGACCTGCACTTCAGAGCGCATGTGGTGAAACTTCTCCTGACGCATGCACAGAAGAGAACAAGGGGGGCCAGGGGGTGGGGAGGGAAGGCGGCAGGAAGGAATAAGGCAGGGGCCAGACTGACTGGACAGCTGCGCTTGAAGCCCAGTGATTCATCAGTCAATGCTCCCGTGGCTTTGCGGAGCCATCCGTGACCACAGACATTTATCCAGTCTCACCATACAGCTTTAAAAAAAGTTACCCGAAGAATATAATATAGTGTAGTTCAAACATCTCTGTAATTTTGAGATCCATCTTATAAGTAATGACCTATTAGTGCCGTCATGGTTTAATAAGCAGCATTTCTTCTCAGATATAAAATAATGGTGTGTCAGTGGTGCCTTAGATTTGAGGAAATATGGTCTAAACACATATTTTTGGTATATGTAATACACGCTCATTTTAGAAAATTTATGAAATATAGAAACAAAGAAAAAAGCAAAAATAATCAATTCTAAAGCTGAAGAGTGCTTCAGAGTACCCTACTTGAGTACCTCTCTACTCTGCATATTTATAAACTATACCTACGCCTATGTGGATCAAAACACTTTAGACTGAGGCTGGTATCATTTTACCCGCGACTCTAAAGTGTAATAAACCGTCCCAACCTGCAGACCTGTTTTACTTTTGACCTAAATTGCAAACTGTACCGAGATTTCTCAAATAACACCTAATAGACAAGTGTAAGCCATAGGGGACCAAATGCTTTCTAAACCTAATCAGTTACAAAGTGTTTGCTGGATATTTCAAATTCTCCGGAAGGCAAGGACCACGACTTAGCCCTCCCAGCACCTTTAGTGCCTGCCCCAGCGGCTGGAATTCCGTTAAGAACTCCCGAGATGACGGGAGCCCGGGTAAGGCCCCGGGAGGGCAACACGGGACTCAGCCTGAGCTCACAAGCCTGGCCTCCTGCCCTCACCTCAGTGTTCTCTGGCTCTTCAGCAGGTTCTGCAGGCCCAGGAGCCCCTCCTTCCGCTCGGACCAGTTGGAGCTGGCGCAGTGGTTGAGTACCTCGGCCACATCCTCGGTCTGGCGCAGGTAGTGGGGGATGCCCCCGTTCCGGGAGCTATACGAGCGCTCGGAGCACACGCTGGACGCGTCGCTGTTGGCGTCGTCGTCGGAATACATCCCGTACGGCTCGTACCTCCTCCTCACGGGCTTCTTCTGCCAGATCCAAGGACGGGTCGGGGGAGACACGGACAGGTGGCGTGAGTCTCACCAAACAAAACCAACGACAGAGAGCTAAACGTAGACACACACAGGCACATGCACCGCCCTTTCCCTGCGCTTACAGATGATGGGAGTAAAAACAGAAAAGCAGACGTAGGGTGAGTAACAAGCAGAGCAGCCCACAGCACAGAGGAAAGAGCATGATCTCTAGCGCGGTGCATGGCCTTCTCAGTAAGACAGACTGGCTGTGTGACTTCAGAAAGCCTCCTCATCTGTCTGCTTCAGTTTCCCCATCGTTGAGATGACAACGATTATCCTTCTCACAGGCTTGTTGTCAGGATTAAGTGGAATTATATGTTAAACAACCCGGCTCGGCACCTGACGCACTGTTAAGTGTGAGCGCCCACCAGCCCCTTCCCAGTCAAAAGCAATCTATCTTGAGCATGGTCTGTGAGTAAATTTGTTTGAATAGTCATGCTTCCTTAAGAACGTCTGACACTGCAATGTCAGTGGCAGAGTGTCCTACATAAAAGGATTCCTAAATGATCTAAACCATTTTTATTAAGGACTTAAAGTTTTACCACACTAATAGGCCTTCTGTAGACTAGAATACCCATGTCATTCATTTCTCTTACCTCTGAATATAAAACTGTAAGTTAAATCCCTATATAATGTAGCAACAGCTACATAAAATAGATAAAACTTATAAAATACGGTTTGTCCAAGAGAAAAACAAATAGCTACTGGCTTAAACTGTACTGATGTAATTTTCTAGGAATGTGACTTGTACGCCGGGACAGCTCTGCCTTCCACCTACTGTCCCAGCATAATTGTTAACAGCACCCTCTCTCACTCTCAAAAGTATCCTTGGTAGGATGATAATTATATGGTCATCTCACTTACCCATCAACTAGGTTCCTAAGATAAGCAAAATGTTGAATGTATCCATTCATGAATCAATAACGACGTAAGAGGAGACACAAACTAGGTTAATAACTAAAATGAAACGCTAGTAGGAAAAGGGGCAGAGCTTGATATCGAAAACACTGAGGCAAATGTGAGAGATGACCAGTTCCATCACTAGCAACAGCATCACTAGTTTCCACAAAATCACAATTCAGAACAGAATTTCTACACTATGCTACTTTTTTTGTTGTTTTTACCAGCTCCTAAAGGAAATATACTCAACAGAAAAAAAAGAAAAAAAAAAACATAAAACAAAAGTTAAAGCACTGGTACCTTGCTCCTGGAGTCTCCTAACAGCTGTAGGCAGGAAAATATTGAAGGATGGGGAAAAAGCATAGAGAATTATGTCAGAAGCATATGTGGGGATCGTTCTTGCAACAAAAGTGTACAGCAGAACATATCTTAGCAAACCAAAAATACAGGTTAGCAAGCGATTCGTGTCAAGCGAATAACAAAGAATGCTTTCACAATGGCATTTCCTAACCCTCCTACACCTCTTATGAGAACTTCCGGTATCTGCTGGAATTCTTTGCTGAAACTCTCCACATAGCACTGAGGTATATCCCTAATGTCGCTATTAACTCTGTCGCCTGCTCCTAGGACAGATGCTGCCCCGGGACTTCTTTTCTGCGAGCAAGGACTGTGTACCATCCCGGCGCTATCTCTTCTGGAGCAGGTCACTTGGAAAGACCAAGCAGTTTGGACAAAACGTAGCAGTGAGGGCAGCGGGGGTGTACGGGGAGCCGGAGGTCAGAGAAGAGCCCAAGTCAGGTGAAGGCAAAGCCCAGACTCTCCAGTCCTGCTCTGCCCCCTGGCACTCTGGGCACTGTACCCACCCCCCCCCGAAGTGCTGTCTCACCCAGCAAGGGCTTTGCGCATCCATCACTTCTTACCCCTCTGGCCCCCACTTCTTCAAGTCCCGAAATAAGTAAGAAACAGATTCCAAATGCTGCAACTTGGAAGGAAGAACCGCTTCACAGAATTGTGCGCCACCTCGTGACTCTTAAGTTAAAGTCCTGCTTAAAGCAATTATCCTGAACTCCAGTTATCTGCCAGAAAAAGCCCTCCTGCACACAAGGCTGATGAACAGAGCTGGCCGGGCAGCCCTCACCATGAAACCATGAGGAGAGCGGAAAACTGCTTGCTCACAGATGCTTGCCAGAGAAATCTGGCTGAGCAGGAATAAATGAGGGAGGGCCAGGAGGGATGAGAGTTGGAATCACTGTGGCCGCACGCTATAAAGTTTTGACTGGATGAAACACGGCTGGATTTAAAACCTCAGGGTCTGGTCCTATAGCCACACACTAGAAAGTTTTGATCGGATGAAACACGGCTGGATTTAAAACCTCAGGGGTCTGATCACTGTGGCCACACGCTATAAAGTTTTGATCGGATGAAACAGGGCTTGATTTAAAACCTCAGGGTCTGAAAGCGGGGTTATTACCTTTGTTCATTAGAAGAGAACAAGTCTTAAAACAGTACAAGCAAGACCAGAGATCGGGAAGTTCTAAAGAATGTCTATTTTACATGCTGAGCACATAAACCAGAAAGTACAACAGGCTGCGTTACTACCAGCTGCAATGTATCTTTAAAAGACCATTTGACCACAAGCTGATTCTACTTAGGAATTCTTTGCTATAACCACAAGTTTAAGGACTTCTAATCACTTTACGTTGCTTTTTTAGATATTACATTGTAACAGTGCAAAAACATACTTCACTAGTGCTTCACATCCTCAGAGTTGACCTCAAGATCTGGGAAAGTTTCCGTAAATAATGACTTAAGGACACATTTAAACAAACAAACATAAAATCATACGGAACAACTAGTGAGGGAAATGGAATAAACGCAAGATTTTCAAACCACAAACGCTATGACCTACTGTTATACAATGATATGCTTAGGCTATGCCATCAAAGCCTGTAAAGCAACAGAAGCAATAGAAGGGAATAAAGGAAATGCTGAAAAAAAAAAAAAGATAAAAAAGGAAAAGAAGAAGCCCAATGACATCAGAGAAGCCTGATGTCATCACAACTTCACTGATACTGCGGAGCACAGAAGACATACTTGATGCTACTGTGTCTTGTAAGGCCAGTTTTCACTTACGTACAGAGTTCACAGTTTAAGAAGAAAAGCATAATAATATAAATTTACACAGTTTAAAGAGTGTCAAAGATGATTTAGTGACCTGGTTTGAAGACTACTTCCTGTTAAGACAGAAAAACGCAGGTGAGTAATTCAAAGAGACTCCACACACGTCGTGCCTCTTACCAAAGCATCAGCAACAGCAGCTTCCAGATCTGCACTGGTGCTCAGAACCCGCATGGCATTCACAGAGCCAGGTATTCTTCCTGCCTGGCCGAGCCCAAACCGGTCTAGTTAAAAAACAAAAGCAAAAGATGTGTCACTTTAATTCACGTGTTTTCACTTCTTTGCGACGGCTCCTGCCTCGTCCCACTTACTGGACAGAGGACGGAAGCATCTCTAGTCAATTTTCACTGCACCTGACTTGTAGTTTCAACTACACCTGACCTGCTTATTATCAGTGGCAGAGGTTCACCCTGTTCACATTTAATACGATCGTGCCAAAAAGCATCCTGACAACTGAAACGGTTCTTTAATGACAGTCTATTTTTGAAAAGTGTTGAGACATGGGGGGGACCTTATTATAGAAGGTGGCTGGGCCATGAGGGTAGTCTTTTCATGTATACAGCATTCTCTCTAAAGGCTAGCGGCCCTGACATTTGGTCAAACTGATTAGAAAGCTTCATGGTTTGATCAATGAGTTCTAACGCAATGTGTAATAAAAAGTTAAAATTTGAAACAAATGTATTAAATTGATCTCTGTGCAAATTTTCATTAGTGTCTCTACTGTTTAACTGTTATTAAGCTCAATTAATGTTAGGTATTTGTTCATCATGATGCCTGTGTCACCAAAGGCTATTTAAAAATCAGTTTATTAAAATTCTTTAATCTTCACCACAAAAAGCTAGTATCTTTGCTGCAAAACATTAATCATTCAGATAATATAAATTTCTCCTGAGTCCCTCAAAGGATTTTTAAATGATAATCTTTACACGTGTCAACCGAATGGACAGAATGCAAAACAATTTCCAACTTTAGCAGTTCAAACAACTATTCTAAGCCTGTTAACAAGCATGGACAATAAAGACTAACTTTTTAACTTTTTTTTGGCCGCACAGCTTGCGGGATCTTAGTTCCCCAACCAGGGATTGAACCCTGGCCCATGGCAGTGAAAGCGCTGAGTCCAAAGAGACTAACTTTTAAAAGTCCCATTACGTAAGCTGACCAGCCTTCCTTAAGAAGTGCTGAGACTGCTTGGGACTCACTGCCCTTGTGAGGCCTTGCTGCTCACAGCAAGCAGTCCGGTAAAAGGCTCTTATAATGTATAATAAACCTCTGGAAGAAAAATGTTAAGATTAAAAATGCTTTCTCTTTGTTAACAAATAAGACACTGTTTGGACAAGGAAAGTCTCTGCATGTGCCATATTCTAGTAATGAAACATTTAGGAAAAAAAAGAAATAAAAGAAAGCTAATGTCGGGTTTACATAATTGATCTTTCCTATAAAATGATATATTTAAAATTTTGGGTAGGTAACAAGACATCATCTACAAACTGGTGAGCTCTAAAAGTGAAGTGTTATTTAACTTTTTTAAATTGTCAGCTTCGAAACGTTATACCTTCCACTGCCACAGAAAGGGGGAAAAGATTTAAACACTGCTATCAAAAGCTATATAGTTATGAATTTTTAGAGGGAAACAAAAATTGTATGTTATACTATCCCCTTTTTTAATGCACTTGTTGCTCGTACTGAATTTCACCATTACGTGTATGTTTAAAAGGTGATTTAATGTGCCAAATAAACTAAAAACAGACCACAAAACAATTCTCTCTCTCTCTAGAATATAAATCATCACCTGAAATAACATTATAAATTTGAGATTTATTATGCACATAGTTTTATAAATGATCTTTGTTCAAGTCTCTTTTTTTTTCCATTAAAAAAGGGTAGATAGTAAGGGATTTATGAGTAACAGAATGAAAGTAATTCAGTTATAAGCCATTTAAAAATTACCCAGCATAAACGTAAATAAAACAGAATCTTAAAAAAAAAAAAAAAAAAGTAGGTCTCATGCCAGCAATTCTTGCTCCAGGGATAATACTGATTTTTCAGACACAAAATTAAAACTGTAAGAACAAAGCAATTATTCTGTGCTTCCCAGATGCATACAGCTTTGCCATACACAGTGACTGCAGATCATTTGATATACATCGTAGATAACTGAATTTCAAATCTTAAGGGGAAATGTTTGTCTGGACCTAAGAAAATTTATAAGCCTTTTGTTTTCGCCAGACCAAAATCTGCTCTACGTTCTCTCTGGTACTGTCCAGTTTCCACGAGATGGATACATATGACTGTGCCCTCAGTCTGGCCCATAATCTTCAGGGGAATATCCTAATCAGAGAATACATAATAAAATGCATAGGTGGCTTCATTTAGAGGAAAAACAGAGACACTAACTCAGTAAATTGGTCACAGTTGTCACCATCAACAGTCTGATTTAACAGATTATGCCTTGTACTCAGTTGATAAAACTACAGTCATTAGGGATTATTAGCGTATCAAAATGATGCCAGTTAAATCCGGCAAACTGATGCATTATTGTATGCTCACTTTCTGCCCCAGAGGCTAACCAGGGCATTTGGGGTACTGTTACAATGAGGCTGAGATGGAGTGTTTCGGCTCTGCAGGCTGCAAAGGCTACCTTTGGCCTGACTTGATTATCCTAATCGTGATTTGTTTTTCCATAAATGCTTTAGGACAATCCATTTCCTTCAATACATATGAAATGAGGTTTGCTATAATCTGGGACATCTGGTCACTAAATAGTACCTCCAAGTAATTAGAACCGGATGGTAGTAACTAGCATTAACAGACACTTTATTGGGAGTTAAGACTGAGAGACGGAAGCCTCTGCTGCATGAGGTCCATACCCCACTTCCTCCGAGGGACCCTTCAGGACACCTATCTGGGGCTGCTGTTTTCCTGGGGGAGGGAGTGAAAGGAGGGCAGAAGTGCTTCCCTATCCTTTTGTTTTGTTTTGTTTTAACATAAATACGAACACTGGAAAAATGATGTCGTCAAACTGGCTACAAAGCATCTACGGCCTATTAACAGGACCATAAACATTCAACAACTTAAAAAAAAAAATAGAAGCACATCGTGGGGGGAAAGAAAATATGAGGTGCATACATGCCAAGTGCTAGCGGACACTGATGGGAACCAGATGTGACAATGAGCGTGTGACAATGAGCGTGGACAGGCATGGCATGCATGAGCGCGTGTTCACCTGACTGCCCAACAGAGTCAGCCGTGGCAAGAGCACTAGTGGACCTGGAATGACGTCGAGAGGCTGCAGGTAAAAGGAACGGCAACACCCACAGGGTTAACACACGAGAACCTGAGACAGCAGCGGCCACAGACCGGAGGGAACGCGGGGCTGCTCCCGACGCGGCCGTGTTTCCTCACGGAAAGAGATGATGTTGGGTACGAATGGACAGCGAGGGCCAACAACCCCCGGGGCTGCATGCGGGGCGCTGGCGCAGGAGGAGGGCTGCCTGTGCACCCAGCGGCCCCCGCCCCCGGGTGCACGCTGCCCCCGGGTGCACGCTGCCCCCGGGTGCACGCTGCCCCCGGGTGCACGCTGCCCCCGGGTGCACGCTGCCCCCGGGAGCCACCGTCGCCACCACAGACTGGGCACGGGAAGGACGCCAGGGGCGCGCCGAGGGGGCGGAGCAGCAGGATGGGTCACGCCTCCCGTCAGGATGCGATGCACACGCGACCATGCACCAGAAACAGAAGCGAAGAAGTTCACACAACGTTCTCTCAACAGACACAGAATGAAGTCACAAAAAGGGGGCTTTCATATACAGGATGGATACACAACAAGGTCCCACTGTGGAGCACAGGGAACTCCATTCAATATACTGTGACAAACCACCATGGAAAAGAACATGAAAAAGAACGTTCGTATGTATAACTGAATCACTTTGCTGTACAGCAGAAATTAACACAATGTTGTACATCAACTATACTTCAATAAAAAAGAAATAAAAGACTTCATGCTTCACAGGTAAAATATAAATCAATTTAAAAAAAAAGAAAGGGGCTCAACAACTGTATTCCATTTTCCCTAGTCAACATGTGTGCTGTTCTGCTGCAGAAATATCCCAATGATTAATGAACTCACTGTTTTAACTGTTGGAAAGTTGGCTGTAATAAGTTTAACAGCCTTCCTTGGAGAGGCATTTGCAGGCCTCTGGTTATGAGCACCAGCTCCGTGACATATGGGGGGCAAGTCCTGGTCAGATCACAACTAGCTGTGTGGGCCCTGGGCAAAGTACTAAACCTCTCTGTGTCTCAGTTCCTCATCTGTGAAATGGGGCCAACAAGGGTACCCTCCTCTTGGGAGTTAAGAGAATTAGGAGAGACTATACATCAAACACTTGAAACGCTACCAGGCACAGAATAAACCGTGGTGGTTAACAGCAGCAGTGCTGGTTAATAAATGTTATTTTGCTAGCAAGTACTCATAATATTATATCGCATCAATTCATCAGTCTGAGAAAACATACACCAAACTCCATCCTCGTGTGGAGAGAATAACTTTTAGAAACAATTATGAGATACAGGCTTGGGTCCAAACCTGAATTTATTGACCCGAGTGCCACATAATATGTGGCTTTTTCTTTACCTCAAAAGAAGAAAAAAGAAAAAAAAAGAAAAAAAACCACGCTTCTATCATTACTTGGAAAGAACACGGTGACTGTAGCACAGAGAGTTCATAGGTTTCACAGAGTGACACTAAGCAGTGCCAGAGTCCAGAATCCTCCCACGTTTACATGCTTAGTCATGAAATGGCAAAACCCCAAACTCTTCAATAAAATTTTATTTACTTAAGCTCGTGTCACCTTGTGAAATGTGCATATCTGCGGGATAAGGGGTACTGAACAGCAAAGGTTACCTGGTCAGTAAGGACAAATTTTTACCAGCATGCAAAAGAAAGACAAAATCCCTAATTCCTCGAGATACACAAAAATAAGTCGGCAAGCTCTAAAACAGGTATTACAAAACAATCACTTTCCCTAAATAAGGAAACTGGCAAAACATTTTGTAAGACTGAAGCAAACTATTCATTTCTTGTACAAGCACAATGGTACTGTATCCTGACAGTTTAAACTGAAAACCATGTTTAAGCAACACCTGATCTGAAGGTTCCTTATAAAGTCGTCCTTTGGTTCTGTTTCAACAGAATATTCTACAGCAAATCTGTCACGTAACAAGTTCTCTG